AGGGAACAGGTGGAAGAGAACTTGGAGAGGTGGAGGTATGCACTTAAAAGAAGAGGAATGAAAGTCAGTCGTAGTAAGACAGAGTCCATGTTTGTGAATGAGAGGGAGGAGGTGGAACAGTGAGGCTACAAGGAGCAGAGGTCACAAAGGTGCAGGACTTCAAGGACTTGGGGTCCACTGTCCAGGAACATGGGGAGTGTGGTAAATAAGTGAAGATCAGTCCAGGCAGGACGGAGTGATGGAGAAAAGTTTCAGGAGTGATTTGTGACAAAAGGGTGTCAGCAAAGATCAAAGGAAAAGTTTACAAGACAGTGGTGAGAGCAGCTATGTTGTATGGTCTGGAGACAGAGACATGGACAAAAAGACAGGAGACAGAACTGGAAGTGTCAGAAATGAAGATGTTGAGGTTCTCCTTAGGAGAGACAAGGATGGAGAAGATCAGGAATGAGATCATCAGAGGTACAGCACAGGTTGAACAACTGGGAGATGAAGTTAGAGAGGACACACTGAGATGGTTTGGACATGTCCAGGAGGGACAGTAGTTTGGACATGTCCAGAGGAGGGACAGTGGTTTGGACATGTCCAGAGGAGGGACAGTGGTTTGGACATGTCCAGAGGAGGGACAGTGGTTTGGACATGTCCAGAGGAGGGACAGTAGTTTGGACATGTCCAGAGGAGGGACATTGTGTATATTGGTAGAAGGATGTTAGAAATGCAGCTGCCAGGAAAAAGACAAAGAGGAGACATATGGATGCAGTTAGAGAGGACATGGAGGTAGTTGGAGTAAGGACAGAGGACACAGAGGACAGAGTGAGATGGAGGACGATGACTCGCTGTGGAGACCCCTGAAGAGGGAATAGCTGAAAGAAGAAGAAGAAGAAGCAGTGCCACCATAAGTGAGGATTAGTGTGATTCTCAATCCATACTTTCACCAATATTGGTGTGACATGTTCATGAGATATTTTGCTAACAGGCCTATCTGAACAAGGGATTATGGGTCGTTGTGGTCTCGTTTCCTCTTTAGGCTCGGTCAGGTGTATTTACCTGTTAATAAAAATAAAAACGATGAAACAGCTGTGTGTGGGGGATGATGATGATGATGGTGTGTGAGCAGTGATTCATCTGACGTGAGTTTGTGTCGCGATGAATATAAAGTCAAAGTTTTGTTCCTCGAACCTGTTGAAACCAATGGAAATTATTCTTTTTACATTTAACACGAGTTAAATGTTGTTGATCGCTCTTTGAACGACCTTCACTTGAGAAATGGCGTTACATTCTGACAGGACGTCCCAACGGCCTGTTTGAGGATCAAACCAAGAAGAGAAGTAGATTTCTGATCTCAGTCATTGCAAAAAGATTCATTCAGATGTTTAGGAAGTCTTGACATGTTCATCTGTTTTGCAATATTTGGTTATTCCATCAGAAATATTAAGATGTTCCTGCAGGAAGTGTCCCAGGCTGTACAGGAAGTGCTACAGCTAGCTGCCGCCGTTGTATCTGTGCTTGTAAAAAAAACGCGCAAGGCAAAACTCATTTGATTGCGACACATTAAACACCACACCCTTGGTGAGTCGTCCCAGATTCTGACCCTGGACCGAGAGAACTTCCTTCTGCAGGAGCAGCATGCTGACCTGCAGGAGTGACAGCATGGATGTGCTGACCCACAGTGTCAGGAGGCGCCATACATCCCCATTTTAAACAGAGGGAGGAGGCTGGACCTATTTTTAAAGCCTAAGGTCCATCAGCTGAGCTTTAAAGTACGGTTTTATTTACAATCAGCGTTAAAGGGAAATCGCGTCTAAATTCCAGCTGAGTGACCGAAGCAGCTTTTACATCACGTTTATCAGAGGCACACGACAAGAGGAAACGCTTGGGCTGAAAGAGAGGAAAAGTGAAAAGAGTCACGGATATCCTCCGTTTCCAGGAGTTTATCCTCCTGTCTGCTGGAAGTCTCTAGTTCGGACTCGTTTCAGCGACTCCAAAGAAGCAGAACGGGTTTTCTTTGAAGATAAATCAGCGTCAAGAGTTATCCTGATGCATGCTCAATAATCCAGGTAGAAAAACCTAAAAAAGTTGTCACACAGGAGTACAAGTTTTACAAACGCGTACTACAAGATTCGAACAAACAAATAATAATACATCTTTCTTTTTTTTTAAACCTGAAAATAATTCCAGATGAGGAATAACCTGCTCATTTTAGGTCGTCTGTTTTAACAGTTCTCCTAATTACCGTATTTTCCGCTGTACACGTCGCACCGCCCTATAAATTGCATCAGCCCAAATATGTTTAATAAAGTAGAAAAATCCATAAAAACATTGCTTCACCGTATAAGTTGCATCTATTACGCATCACCGCTGACAACGAGCTCGCAAAAAACGAACCGCAAAGTAGCGAGGGAGTACTGTATCTGGTAAAGCTCTGATGTCCCAGCTTTTTTACCAGCCTTGAACGCAGCATGATCTTGGTGAGCGACAAGAACGTCTCAGGCAGCTGGTCCGTGATGTTGACAGATTCGTCCGCAGCATTTGGAGATTTGTGCACGTGTGTATGCACAGAATATTCCTACTTGTGCAAATTAAAACGTGAAGATGTGAGAAACTGTTTACGCATTTGTAAAAGTTGTGGTACACTTGTGCGAGTACTTCTGACACCGGTTTATCTGCAGCTTCCTGCCAAAACACAAAACCTCGTCACTTAGTTTTTGTTGATTTGGTTCGTTTTGGTTTCCTTTTTTTTGCTGACACAGCGGCGAACACATCCGGACAAAAAGAGACGCTGGAAATAGACTCTGTCATTTATAATTACTCCAAGACTTTCTGTCTCTCAGGAGGTCAGAACCAGTTCAGACTGGGTCAGTCAGTTAACTTGGCTGCTTTATTTTTAATCTCAGTTTTCTGACATTTTGTCTAACAAACTCTTTTTTTCATTTAATCCTAAAATGCTTCTTTTATTTCCTGTTTGTCTGAAACATATTACATCCTGACTTTAACAAACGATATGCCGTTTATTGTTTTAATGGAGCATCTTTGGTCTTTATTCTGTGTAATCTCTTTTATGCGAGCCCTGTTTAATCCGTGTTAATCCGTCGGTGACTGTGCAACTGCAGGTTTTAGCCCGAGTCCAGGAGATTATATGCTCGCAGCGATCCAACAGGATGTTCAGCAGTGATTCACCCTAAATGGGTTTACTCTAATCCAGCTGGCAGATGGAGGGCGCACTGATCAGGCCAATATCAACACTGTGGCACAAACATGGCGACTTCACAGATGATCGGACTTTACGCCCCCGAAGCAGAATCACTTCCTAGTGCTTCGAGGAAATCGATCAGCAGATTTGTTCTAGACCTGGTTGGACCCCTCCGAGGTTTTAAATGTTGCCCTCCAGTGCAACACGACGGTACTTTTAGGTCTATCAGGACGCGGAACAAGTCAGGATTAGTTTGTAGTTCGAGTCAATAGGTTTGGGTTGGGGGTGAGTTTTTGCTTTACGTGGAGGAGTGTAGGTCTCTGGGAGTCCTGTTCCTGAGTGATGGACAGATCTGCGCCTCATCCGCAGTCGTGAGGGCGTCACTCTGTTCCGTCGTCGAGACGGAGCTGAGCCCAAACACAACGTCTGTCTGCGTTACAGCCATCAGCTATGGTCATGTGACGTGGACCATGACCAGATAAGGAGCTCTTGGATACCAGTGGCTGAAATGAGGCTCCTCTGTGAGGTGGCTGAAGTTTCAGAGTAGAGCTTCTGCTCCTCCTCATCAGAAGGCTGAGGTGGTTCCTTCTGGAGGTTTTCCAGGCAAGTGACACCAGAAGAATACCCTGAGCCAGATCCTTAACTCTTTGGAGGGATTATGCATCCTTTCCAGACATCTTGGGATCCCCCAGGAGGAGCGGACGAGTTTTCCTGAAGACAGGGATGTCTGGTTTCTCTTCCGGACCCGTTGTCTTCATGACCCACCACAGATCAGCGGCATAGAATGGGTGAAGGTTTGTTTTTTTCTGGAAATCGTGACCTTTTTGTGATGATAGTGTATATACAGGAAGAAAAATGTAAGCATGTGACGAACACAAAGTATTCTAGTCACATTGGTGGTTTCAGATTGCAAGAACAGCCGGCTGGTCCTTATTGTAGCTGCAGAGATTTGTTGGTACCTTCCAAAGTTGTCCTTTTGTTTGGATGTTTCCTCTTCAGGGGTCTCCACAGAGATTCATTCTCCTCCATCTCACTCCGTCCTCTCGAACTGCCTCTTCTCAGTCTGTCTCGACCAAACTGGTGTCGCTTGAACTTGTATATTAGTTTTGGCGTGTTTTACCCCGGATGCTCTTCCTGACACAACCCTCACCATTTAGCCGGGCTGGGGACCGGCGGCTGGTTTCTGTACCGTTCCAAAGTGATCCCAAAAGAAACAGAAATGGTGTGACATCAAAAAGCTCCAGTTTTGTCTCATCAGTCCCAGAATCTTTTAGATTTAAGATTAATTTTAGGCTTTTTTGTGTTTTCCCGCCAACAGTGGAGCTCTGTTGGGTCTTCTTCCATGAAGTCCATTACGGTTAGAAACGTAGCTGATGGAGCGATCAGAAAGTGACGTATCTCGGCCTTAGAGGTCAACTTTAATGGCTTAAGACAGTTCCCTCAGCTCTTTGTCTACCAGCCACACAATCCGTCTCATCAACCTGGGGTCGCATTTCTTCTTGCATCCACATCCTGGGGGGTTGACCGCTTTTCACAAGAAGTGACGCTTTGTTTTAACGAGCTGTAAGGGCATCGACAACTTTTCTAGCGTCGGTAAATTACCTTTAATTTCTGCATTAATTCGTTTATTTCGCCCGTTTGTTTCTGAGTGATGCGAGGATACGAAACCTTTTAACTCGGAGCGGAGAAAAGATAACTGCTTTAAACTCCTGCCTAGCTGTGCTTGTGTAATAAAATCTAATAATAATAAAGCATCTGCTCCCTCGGTGGTTGCAAGACCGTCGGGTTTCTGACGAGATGTTTTCTTTTACAGAGATTATGAACGATGTCATCAAGAAGGTGAAGAAGAAGGGAGAATGGAAGGTGAGGTTCAGAGTTGGGCGATCGCTTCGATGAACTGAGTGGAAATATTAGTTTATATGTGGGAAAATGAACTTTGTAGAATCGTAATAATAAAGATGAAAGATTATAGTTCAGAGTTTATGTTTAAGAACGTCTACATCAGTTAGAAGTTGCAGATTATTTTTATGATGCAAGTTATGGAGCACATTTACAGGTCAGAAACCACAAAGTGCTTTACAGAATATAAGACATAAAATAAAAACACACAAGATAAAAGATAAAACAACATACGTGTGACATAAGACAAAATAAAACTAATTAAAAGACTTACAATAATCCAGACGGGATGTAATAAAAGCATGAATAATCATCTCTAATTTGGCTTTTGACACAAGAGACTTAAGCCTAGAAATATTTCTTAGTTGAAAAAAACAAAAACAATTTTTGATTAATCCTCGGGAATGGCATTGCAATGACATGGCAGGTTTCTGAGATTTGGTTTAATAGACGAGGCCAGTACATCAAGGTGTTGCTTAATTTAATCTGTTTCATTGTCAGGAACAATAATCAAGGTTTCAGTTTTATCACAGTTAACCTGCAGGAAGTCGTCACTGAGCCCCCGTTTGAGATTACAGCTAATACAGTTTAACAACGAGGACAACTTCAGATATTCAGAAGGTCTGAAGGAACAATATAGCTGAATATCATCAGCATAGAAATGATAATCTGAAAACTGACTTATTATTTGGCCAAGGGGGAAAATATACAAAAGAAAGAGAATAGGTCCCAACACTGAGCCCTGAGGTACCCCACACAGCAGGCTCTTGAAAATATATTGTGAATTTTAACATTTCTTGATATTTTACATGTATTATTTGTTGCAAATTTTTTAAAAATCCTGTTTTGTCCAACAAATTAAATAATTTAATCAACTAAAAATGATTGTTTTCACCTTTAAACTCCAAGTCTGTTTAAATCTGCGAGGCTGAAGCTATAAACTTATTTTAGTTAGTAGAATGAGAAGGCCACAGTAATAATTTGTGTTTTCAGGCTCTGATCGTGGACCAGCTGAGCATGAGGATGTTGTCCTCCTGCTGTAAGATGACGGACATCATGACCGAGGGCATCACCAGTAAGAGACGTTCACCGTTTCTCTGTAGCGACAGGTTTACTCAGTTGTGGGACGTGTGTAACCGTCTGTCCTCATCTGTCCAGTTGTGGAGGACATCAACAAGCGACGAGAGCCCCTCCCCAGCCTGGAGGCCATTTACCTGATAACACCCACGGAGAAGGTAAGGACGCCTCCATTTTATCAGAGACAAAGCAGATGAAACACTTCTTAAATTGGATGCTCTTTTCTTCAAGTGTATTTAATTTATAAGGCACACTGTGATAATTTAAATAAAGTTAAATTTCTGCACAGCTCCTCAGCTTGTGCCTCACATTAACTGCTAAAGAAGCCAACAGACACAACTAAATAGGCAATAATAAAAATAAAAACAACTCAGAAGGAGGATCTGCGACCTTTTTGATCCAGAGAGTCATCTTTGCCTCTTCACATTAAATAAAATGAGCCTGAAGCTGCAGAACCTGCTGCAACTCAGCATCAACTGGTGGCCCATGGGCCAGTTTGAGTTTGTTGGAGAGAGGCTTTCTTGGCTGGTGGGACGACATTTTAAAACTAAAAAATTATAGTCAATTTTAACTTTTTTTAATATATATTTTTACATTTCAGGGCAAAATAAAATATCATATTCAGGTAAAGACGGAAAAAAATTGTTTATGCCAATTTTGATAAAAACTAAAACTATGCGAAGCCTGAAGGAACAAAACATGTAAATGTGCAGAAAGGTCATATTGTTGGATTTGTAATTGTGACTTGTTGAATTTTAAACTAAACGTAAATACTTGTTGTATGACACGTGAGCTGTAATTCCTGCCAATTCTTAAAGTCCAAACATTCCTCGAAGGAATCAAGTCCGAGGGTGTGTGGGAATCACTTGTAGCTACGGTCACATCGAATACTAGCTCAGTGTGAAACAGTCATGTTTGTGTTGGTTAGGGTCAATTAGCTGCGTCAGCCATCTTGAATGAACAGCTGTAGACGTACAGCCGAGGTTTACTTTGAGTTTTATTAAAACCTGTCCAGTGGTTCAGAGGGTATTGTGCCAACAGACAATCAAACGCAGGAATTTTGACAGCTAGTGCTAAAAATGTTGAGCTAAGTTTTAAATAATTTAGTATTTCCTTTATTTCCACGCCTTTAATAGCCTATCAGACTAAAAACTCTAAATCGTTCATTTCAGATACAGCTTGTTAGCTTAGTGTACTTGGTGACTCAGTTAAATTTAGCATTTGAAACTTATTTACATGTAAGCATACAGATAAATGGATTTTTTTAATAAGCTTTCTCTCTTTTCAGTCTGTCCACACGTTCATTGCCGACTTCAAAGATCCCCATTCGGCTAAATACAAGGCAGCCCATATTTTCTTTACTGACTGTGAGTTTAAGTTAAATGTTTGTTTCGTTATTTGTTCAAGTCACAAAAGAAGTGTTGTTGCACTGGACAGAGGTACGGACATGACGTTCAAGTTATCTTTACGTCTATAATTGTTATTTTTCTAATAATTTTTAGTTATAATTGCTATTTAATTTTTTATTTTGTTATAATTATTATTTTAAAATATTTTTTAGTTATAATTGTAGTTTTTAAATAATTTTTAGTTATATTTATTTGTAAATAAGTTTAATTAATAATTGTTATTTATTTTTTGTTATAATTGTTAATTTAAATATTTTTTTGTTATAATTATAATTTTTAATGTTTTTAGTTATAATTGTTATTTTTAAATATTTTTTAGTTATAATTATTATTTTTAATGTTTTTAGTTATAATTGTTATTTTTAAATATTTTAGTTATAATTGTTATTTTTAAATATTTTAGTTATAAATGTTATTTTGAAATATTTTAGTTATAAATGTTATTTTAATTTTTTTTAGCTATAATTGTTATTTTTAAATATTTTAGTAATAATTGTTATTTTTAAATAATTTTCAGAAGAGTTAAGTAGCATGACAAACAGCTAGATGGAGATATAACTTATTTTTAAAACATTTTTTAGTTATAATTGTTATTTTTAAATATTTTAGTTATAATTGTTATTAAATTTTTTGTTATAATTGTTATTTTTAAATATTTTAGTTATAATTGTCATTTTTTAAAATTTTAGTTATAAATATTTTTTTTTAGTTATAATTGTTATTTTTAAATATTTTAGTTATAATTGTTAT